GCTAGGGACTTCGTTTGCACCCTGAGTCCATTCATACTCAGGGCCATGTCGACTAAGAACTGGGTACCTCCCAGGAGTTCTTGTAAATCTAGTCCTCGCAGGTAACATTTGCGTAGAACTAGGAAGGAGCCTTCTCCTAGGCCTTGTCGTTTTCCTCGAGGGACGCATCCGATTGAAGTTCCACGGCTTCCTCCCATTGTTCTTCTGCCTCGGGGTCGTTACAGTCGATTTCCTTGATAGTAGCGTTAAGGGGGCATTTGTCCTGGAAATGGCCAGGCTTGCCACACTTGAAACAGTTCCCTGAGGATGCTGGGACTGCGGTCTTCACACACTTCAGCATCGTTGGCTTGGGGAGGAACATGGTTCGGGTGAACAGAGCAGGTGTGGCTCGAGTCGGCTTCGACGCTGACGCTTTTGCCGTATCCGTGGTATGTGTGGAAGTTCTTGCGAGAGCGGGTAGCGGATTCAATTCGTTGTTCCGGCGCCGTTCCTGATCGAAGGCGGTAAGTTCTTGTACCATGGTCTGGTAGTCTCCATTCCATTGGTTTTTGATGATCGTGACGCGGCTGCGGAATTGAGGAGTCAACTTATTCCACATGTACCGAAACCATTCCAACTCAGAGACTTGTCCTGTAATAGCTGCACTTTGGAAACGAGCCTTGAACTCTGGGAAGGTTTCGCTAGCATGCCCCTTCTCTCCCATTTGCAGGTCGTCGAAGAGGTTCCTGGCCTGTTCCGTCTCGTTGCCTGTGAGGTAGTATGAACCTAGTAGATCCATCATCTCCTCAGCACTGCGGAACCCATGCGTAGCAGACAGGTATTGGGGCTCTAGGTAGGTCTTCGCCAGGCCAGTCGTAGTTCCCCATATCAATGCTCTTCTCAAGACGTCGGTAAGGTAGTGGTCCTCATTGACTACGAGTCGGTCCCGAATCGAAGCGCTCCATTGTAGGAAGGTATGTACTATCCCATCGCTGAGAGGAAGGATTTTCTCAGAGATGGTTGATTTCTTATAGCGATTCGGAGGGTCCTCGGTGAGCATTCATGACGACCTTGGAATTGATGGAGAATGAGTGTTCCAAAGAGGTGGCAATTGAACTGTCTCAGGGGTGTTTCGTGTGCAAGGCGTTCGTTGCTCCATAGCTTCGACTGTGAGTATGGGGGTGTCCCCCGGCGGTGTGGACGGGATTCTGGTCTGGGCTGCCGTCAGGGTAACTAGTAGATCCTTGACCTCCTGTATCTGTGCTTCGAGGTGGGCCATTCGACTCGGGATGTCTTCTGGATGCCACAGCGGTCGTAGCTGCAGCGGTGGTTTGTCTGGTAGTCATTCTGGGCAATTGACTGTCGTTGTCTTGGGGTATGTTTGATGTTGGCTTTTTCGACATATTGCCTCGGGTGTGTATCGGTACCGATACGAAAGAGCTTGACTTCCGGTAGCTCGTAGCTATCAACCCTCTTGTCCACAATTTTCTCTGTACTAGGAGGGGGTTCTTAAGGATCTCGTATTCTATTTGGCGCCAACGCGTCGGCAACTTTACCAGCTTGTTCTGAAGAATCAAACCCTGATCCACTGGCTGTCCATGATATCTCTGGAATCACGGCTATTTGAAGTCGTCAGGTCTCTCCTCCGAAACATCACTGAGTCGCGGTCGATGTCGTAATGGTAGTTCTCCTGAGTCGTTCCAGTGTGGGATATTATTGAAGTACGGCCGTCCCCAGCAGGCGTGATCTTTTTTGTATAATGTAAGGACACAGGGCACCCAGCTCACAGTAATAGCATATGAGAGTGCGAGTCGGAGGCTAAACGGATGCTATCCTATAGGTCTACTACGAAGGATACAAAAAAGATGAAGGGGGAACCCCGTGAGTCGATTGTCTCAAGTACCCGAAAACCATCTGACTCGGTTCCGACTCGGTTAGCCCACCCAAATGATCACACGTGACCTCACAGCTACCCAGAGTCTACTCCCTAGAATGAGAGACGAGAAGGCATCCTTACAGTTACTGGGCTAATACTACACATGACATATCTCTATCAACTAGAGGCCTAGGAACATGAACGATAGCTCCAAAAGCTTCTACAACCCTCTATGATTCATTACACGTCATCGCTCCTTAGTTACCCACAAGATTGGTTAAGTTATGACATAATTTGTCTATAGGGGTACTCTGATCTTGGACCTCCTTTCACTTCCTATAGGCTAGAAACCTAGGAGATGGTTCTATGGGATTCTCTTACGTCGTCTACAGTTACCAAGCCTGGTTAGTCATGGAAAGTCTTGAAAAATGAGAGAACTACACTCCTTTAGCATAAATAGGATTGCCCGTTCCTCAAGAAAAGGCAAGCAGACAATACATTAAATCGACTATCACATACTTCCACATCTTTTCCAAGCTTCCAAGCATTGATCTTGTTACTCCTTGTTTCTGAAAAGTCAGTGAGGTGCTAACTGTAATGGTGGGTGAACCAGATGTGAGAATCTAGCCACCCAAGGAAGGGATGAATTTACTAAGACAACACACTGTCTTAGAAAACAGAGCCAAAGGGTCGTATCTTAGACTATTCCACAATGCAGCAATCAGGTGTGTGATGTAGTGAAGTGGTTCAGACAAGTTGCAACAAATGTTGAGTCTGGGAACTCAGGGGTAAGTCAGAGGTTAACACCTCACTGACTTTTCAGAAACAAGGAGTAACAAGATCAATGCTTGGAAGCTTGGAAAAGACGTGGAAGTATGTGATAGTCGATTTACTGTATTGTCTGCTTGCCCTTTCTTAAGTAAAGGGCAATCCTATTTATGCTAAAGGAATGTAGTTCTCTCATTTTCCAAGACTTTCCATGACTTACCAGGCTTGGTAACTGTAGTCGACGTAAGAGAATCCCATAGAACCATCTCTTAGGTTCGTAGCCTATAGGAAGTAAAAGGAGGTCCAAGGTCAGAGTACCCCTATAGACAAATTATGTCATAGACAAATTATGTCATAGCTTAACCAATCTTGTCGGTAACTAAAGAGCGATGACATATAATGAATCATAGAGGTTCGTAGGAGCTTTTAGAGCTATCGTTCATGCTCCTAGGCCTCTAGTTGGTAGAGATATGTCATGTGGTAGTATGAGTGATGTCATGTAATGAATCATAGAGGGTTGTAGAGATATGCTATGTGGTAATATCGGCCCAGTAACTAAGGAGCGATGACGTGTAATGAATCATAGATGGTTGTAGCAATCGTTGAGTAGTATTGCTCTTGTTGTTGGTGTGATAAGCCAAAATATGTATAGTGACTTGTAGGTTTGAGGAGGAGATTTCCAAGTTTGCTCTTGAGTTTGATAGCAAACTGAGTGCAACGAATGTCAGTATGACACTAACCTCTGACTTATCCCTGAGTTCTCAGACTCAACATTTGTTACAACTTGTCTAACATTTGTACAACTTGTCTAAACCACTACACTACATCATACACTTGATTGCTGCGTTGTGGAATAGTCTAAGGTACAACCCTTTGGCTCTGTTTCCTAAGACAGTGTGTTGTCTTAGTAAAATCATCCCCTTCCTTGGGTGGCTGGATTCTCACATTTGGTGCACCCACCATTACAGCGCAGCTCCCTGGTCACACTGATAACTCTCATCTTGCTCAGATCTCCTTCCTTGACTCTAAACGTCCAGGGTTGTTGTGTTGTAACTTCACCGCTATGGATAGGCTCTTGAAGATGTACAACGTCAAGTACTTTAGACTTCTGTTGCCATTTATCGTTGATCCAGTGTGCAGCAATCGCAGCATAGTCTGTATAATTCCGTGCAGACCATGCATCTGTCGTTATTGATATCCGGCCTCCTCTCTTAATATGAAAATGGAGCTCAAGTTGTAGCTGGCCTCGGTGATATGAAAACTGATGCTGTAGTTCTCGGTGTAGCGTACGAGCTGATATTACCATAGTTGTTGGGCTTAAGAATTGAACTAATTCACGGAATGAATAGCTTTCAACAAGGCGTATCGATAGATTATTCGACATAATGAACTGTAGTTATAACTCCTTATACTTTAAAGGATTACCAGGTTTCTTTAGTAGAGCTGATGGGCGTGGGTTGAAGAACGATGATGTACTGTTTGATGCACTAGATGGCTGTCTCTTCTCATTTTTAAGGGCGTATGATACTGTTGGATGCTTTAAGGAATAATGCCTCCATAGATTACCTGTCGACGATTGCTTTAATTCTTGTGGCGGTAGTGAATATCCACAGCCTGGTTGTAGGCATATCATTTTTATGGTCAGAGGCCGAGTATCAAGTAATTCCCGACAATATAAGCCCTTTGTGAAGAGCTTCGACGATGTCGATGGTAGTACTACCCTTGGATGTTGAGGTAGATTAATCGATACGTCAACTGCTTCAACTGAAGGCTGAATAGGGGTAGGTTGAGGTGGAAGATGTGGTAACGATAGCTCTTCTATTTGAGAATAGCTCTCATGATCTGACGGCAAATCTGATAATTCTGAGTCGCTCATTTTTACTGTAATCGTCACATTACGATGGTATTTGAACCAGTATTACAGAATCAATTCTACGTCTATTATGTGGCCTTGGCTACTTTTGGCTATTCTTGGCATTATCCGTAAGATCCGGATATATCCTCAGATCGTACGGATAGATCATAATTATGGCAGATAGGATATATCCGGATCAGTATCCGGATCAGCTCAGGTCATACACGATCCGTGCTGAACACTGGGAGCAGGAATGGATGTTGGAAGTTATAATGTGTCATTGACTGGAAGTAGAGCCCTTAGGGTCTAGGGGGAAAAGTTGTGAGCAATTTGTCAATTTGAGAAAATAGTTGTACCCGGCCCTATGTAGGGTCGGTTCCGATGATTAATATAATTTATATTTTCACCTCACATACAGGACTATTATTACTAACCCCTATTATCTTTATATTAACTGTGAATAGTCTATTTGGACGATCTAAGATAAATTTAAAATCTAAGCACAATCAAATACCCATATCATCACGAAAGTATACCTATGCCTCTACTGGCATCTAGCATCTGCAATGCCCAGTTTATAGCCCATGTTACCTCTTCGATCTATAAAGGTGTGATAGCAAAGCCCAGAATATTTCAATCAAGGCACGTGCTAACTTACTTTGTCCATATCCAAAATATTGTAGTGATTTGACTCCACATCAAGAGTCCCAATGATAAATTCCGGTCCTATAAGTCCCCACCCCAGGATCTTATCCTCCCGAAGCAAATCTACTCTCGCAGGCAATTCATTCGACTGTCCAAGCCCCGCCACCATGCGCTGTGCCGAACGAATGAGAACCGCAGGAGGAAGCCACCCTTCCGGGCCGGTGGTCGGCATCGACCACTCCTCCAGCATGATCATGCAACTGCTTAGACAGTTCTTGATATGCTCTGGGAGGTGCGAAAAGTCCACAGTGCGCACTGAGGGGCACTCGCTCTTGGGCCTGTAGAAGGGAGACTCAATGAGAACGAGGCCGGCGAGGGAGAAGGAGACGGGGGTGGTGGATTTGGAGATCTCATTGACCATGACAACGGAGAGAAGGCTGCCGAGTGACCATCCTGTACGGAATTAGTATCCGTTGGTTGCATAATGACCGAAAGGATGAGACGAGATGGAGGGGTGGTGGCGCGGTGCTCACCGCCGAGATAGATAGGGCCACGGATCCCGCTTGATTCAATCATTTGGATATAATTTTGAGCCATTTCCTCCATGGTCATTGGATACGGCCTACTACGGTTGTGCGCGCGAGCTCACCGAGGATGTAGTATTCGAAGGCAGTGCTAGTGTGCGTCATGGGTAACCGACCCCACCGGGTAACCTAACCCAGACCATGGGCCAGTCTGAAGCCAATAACCCACGGGTACCCACCGGTCTGCCAAGAAACCAGTCACGGGACATTTATATTTGCTATCACGTGTACTTTATATATGTGAGTGTAGTTTGTATAGGACGTATAATTTACAATCAATTGCTATATTTATTACTATAGATCTATGTTACGCCATGACTCCTGAATTTCCTGACCAGACCGAGACTTATTACGGACCTGGCTTAACTCAACTGTTTCAACTACTGCCTTCTGGGGCAACTGGGCCCCATTATCCTTCCATGATTTCTTTGCAATAGGAAGTGAAGGTAGTAAATAATCACCCTCGCTCTGGCTAGGGGGTACCCCCTCAAAATCGTCTACCTCATGGTCAATAAAGTCAAAAGTTGAGAGATCAACTTGACTTTGGTAACGAACTTGGCTTTGCTGGCCTTGTGACCGCTGTACCCTTGGCAAGCTATGGAGACCTCGTCGTGATTGAACAAATTCAAACCGGTCTTTGTTCCGCCTTGTCCGGTCATAGGTATTTGGCTGCCTTGGGCTTCGGTCTGGAATGTACTGTAGTGCCATCTTCTCCTGGATATTATCAATTAGAGCATTATACTCAAATGATATTTCCTCATCATTCATATAGGTTGAATCAATAATATCCGTAACTGAGTAGTGTTCAAAGAGCTGTTCCCGTTCGATTTTCTGCCGGTAGAAGACAAGCATAATACCCCTTATTGTCTCAGGGGCCATCTGGTTGCGCCTATAATTGCAGACAGCACAGGCAGTACTAAAGACCCGCTCAACGAGGGCTTCAGATGCAGGAATACAAAGTATATCCCGGGCCATAGCAGCAAGCCCAGGGAATAATCGCTCGTTATCTTTCCACCATAATAATGGTGGTTGGTGGGAGGGTGCTAGTAAAAGTTAGTAATTATTACTATAATTATTACTATAGACTTACGGAGAGCAAGGTACCGCTCAATCTCTCCTGCCTGGTCAGTGGCCTGACTTAAGGAGTTATAGCTTCGCTTCCGATTTAACATCAAAGCCATTGGGTCCTTGTCAGTCTAGTTCTGTATACTGTGACTGGTGCTGCTTTGACCTTTCTTGGTTGGCGTAATGTTGAGTATATAGTGCCCGGAATTGCTTCTCAAAATGCCTCTGCCAGTTTGTTTCAGGATTTAACCAACAATAGTCAGGGTTAAACACTTCCATCTTTAACCGGGGAGATAGAATAGCTCCAAAGGCATAGAAGCTTCCAGTACCTGTACAAGATCTTGTATAATACTTGTCAAGCTTTTGAATAGCTTTATCAATAGCTATAAGAAGCTTTTTGATCCATGGGTCTTGTAGTGGCTTTAGCCGACGGTACACTCCTCAAGCCCTTCAAATAGCTCGTCATATGCTGGTAAAACAAAGCCTAGTCGAGCACCACTTGCTATACCCATGTTTGAGGTCCAGAAGCTAAACTGGCGAGTAACATCAATAAGGTAGGTGATGTGTTTCCACTCTGGGGGACTAATATGAAATATATTAGCTGCAGTAAACTCAGTTGTAAACTTATTCACTGCTTCTTGGAGTAAGACTGCTCGTAGCATCATATGTAGGGTTGAGTCCCATCGTGTTAACACATCTTGGATAAGTCGTAAGACCTTTGCTCCATCTTTAATACACTGTCTTTGGATTCCCATAAATCTCTCTCTTCGCTGTGAACTTGAATTCACAAAGACAGCTAGCTTCCGAAGCTAGTTTTATATTAGTGGCAATTACTATAAAAATTACTATAAACATACCTTGGCAAGGGTCCATGGAAGGCCCCTCTCTTTACTTAGATCTCTAATCTCGTTGGCTGAATTTTCATCCCAGTCAGTCTGTAGCTCTGAGTTTGTTGGGTTTAATCGGATTGACCCAAGGAGAGCCTTTTGTGCAAGCTGGACAATATGTGCGAAGCATGGTATATGGTGAATGACTCCATCATGGTATCTTGTTGGCTCTGATGATAGCTCTTTTACCATGTCGTTAATAACCCCCATCATTGAAGTATTATTACTTGCATTATCAGTTGTAATACAATGAACTCTACCATCGAGGTGATATTGGGATATAACATGCTGGACAATGGTTGCAAGATCTTTCCCTGTATGGGCTCCATCAAGATACTCAAACCCAATTAAAGCCTCACGGTATTCCCATTTATCAGTAATGAATGTTGCCATAATACCCATAAAGGAGTGCCTTGTTCCAGGGCTAGACCAATTGTCAAGAGATAATGCACACCTTGCCCCAGGTACAAGACCATGAAGGGCAATCTGCTGTGCATTACTAACCATAACATCAAGGCGCCGCTGTAAGGTTGTTGGTGAAGGAAGTGGATATTTCTGATTCTGCCATAATGCCATCTCTCTCCAAATAGGATTCTCAACAGATCAGAATGATATGTTAAGAGATACTACAGTCTCAAGAACGTAACTGTAGAATGCTTCCTTTGGGTCGTCTTCTGGTTGTAGCCGCATACTCTAAATAATAGTTAGGTATGTTTATAGTAATAAGTATAGCAATATGTAATATTGCTTACTGGAGAAGATTGCGAGAGGCGGAGCTGGCTCTGATGTAATGTAGAATGGTTTGATGACTTCCTTATACACCCAGCTGATCGAAGGTGAGTGCTCATTGTGCTTGTCCCTGAGCCTTTAATACTTGGGTGGATGAGTATTTTCAAACACCTCTGGCAAACAATTACTGGTTCCCCAGTTGATTTTCGAGCTCCTTGGTCAAAGTGTCTCCATGATAATGAGGTCCGGGTTGTTGACCCCCAGTTGATTTGCTTATCAGTGCTTAAAAACATATTTGGCTGTTCTTTATACCAGGACTGGTAATGCCACCAGTCGTTGAATAGGTCTGCCTTTGAAGGCGTCCACTTTAGCACATTTAGACCTTGGATCTTTTCTAGCCCATCCCATTGGTTGTTAAGTTGTTGGGAGGACTCAATCTCAGGTGTTCTATTACTAGATAAAGGCTCATCAAGAGAGAATATATCGCTATAAGGTTGTGCTGGTGAACTTAAAGATTGGTTATAAGACATAATATTTGAAAATATTCAATATTATATTATTATAAGGAAAATAAAACAGTCAACCTGAATATTTATTAAGGTCTACATCTATTCTATACGTATTTCTCTATTTCGCTTGAATTCTCCTCTTTAGAATATTTTAGATTACTTGTGGAGTATATGGTAGTAGCGTGTTTTGGTATTATGGGCCTATAGCCTTATAAGCCAATTATAGTAATATTTATAGTAAACTAAGAAGTGGTAGCATCAACAGTAGTGTATTGATCTACCTAGCTATTGTAGAAGAAGAAACTAATCTACATTTCGTAGAACTGGCTGAGAAACTCCTCTGATTCTTTTGTTGGAGGCAACAGTACCAATGTATCATCGGATGGCAAGACCCACCTGAAATTGGTAGGCTCGGTTTCTTCAGCCAACATCTCCCAAGCTTCATATGCTCTGCCAGCATCAAGATCAACATGGAAACCATGCTGAGTAGTATCGTAATCATCAGGGTACCACTCAGCTGGCCCAGGAAGATATGCATTGTCACCATCAAGATTCCATGAGGTGAAGTTTCTCCAAACAGCCATTTCCGTCTTTGAGAAGTATAGATGTGGCGGAACCTTGTTGTAGTAGATCCTAGAGATGTTAGCTAGTTACTATAATTATTACTATAGTTACTTACCCTGTAGTTGGATCAATTGCAGGGGGCAATTTCTCAAGGAAGTCTGGGTCTGTGTCGTAACGTTGATTGGTATGCAACCCTCCACTTTCGGCGCCAGAGGGAGAATCCCAACTGATCCACCTTCTATATTATATTTGTAAAGCTCAAATGTAATGGGTAATGGGTTCTCATCCATACCTTGGTTGTAGCGACAGATTGTGCCACCATCTCTCTCTGGATCTTCTGAATTCCAACATCATCAACGCCATTGGCCTTCTCATCTTCCCTCCACATAGCCTCTTGCACTACCTCATCATCCTCATCCTCGGTTTCCCAAGCAATGTTTCCGTCGTCCCAAAGAGAATATGCCCCCCCTCCCTCACCAATCCCAAGACGTTGCTGAACAACAGTTGCATGCTTTCCATCACGTACACTGTTTCTATGTTACTATACTTATTACTATAACAGTGGATAGGAATAAATCTTACCGCTTGAGAGCTACCTTGGTCTTTTTGGCTTCTACTCGACGTTCTTGAGCTTGGCTGTCGAGGTTCTTGAACTCAGAAGTTGCCCAGAGATTTCGCAAGGCATATGAAACAGCAGCTGTATCTGCCCTCTTGGCGTTGTCGATTGTGCGTTCAACTTCACTCATGTTGTTGCGGCGTTTTGTGACCTGCTGGGTATTCTTGTTCTTCGACTTCTCGTCGTCGTTCTTTCATTTTCCAACCATCGTGGCTGTCTTACTATAACAATTACTATAAAGTAAGTAGAAAGGATTGAGTAGACTTACCTCCTTGATCTTAGAAGTGTCGGTGGTGTTGGGGGTGTTGGGGGTTGACGAAGAAGGTTGAAGAAGAAGGTTGAAGAAGAAGGTTGTTGTTGTGGGGTAAAACACGTCAATAAGGTCGCTTACTATTGTTGTCCTTACTATTGTTGTGGGAGAATTCACCTTTATCGCCTACTACCGTACAAAAAGTGAAGCTGAAGACATTTTACTAAGCGAGCTAGCTCACAACCCCAACAACAACAACCTCACCCTACCTTTATTTTTCCTACACAACACCCCCCCGACCTTCAGATCAACATGGCTATGTGAATTGCTACTGGCTGGCAAACTGGTAAGTAAAGCACCCAAATCTTATAGTAATACTTATAGTAACCCTCTTTTAGTGTCATGGATCTGGACGCTGCCTACGATGCCCCTGATCCAGTCACAAGCTCCGAATCTGAAACTGAGCCCGATGGAAAAAAAGCCCCACTCAAACAATCCCACAAATTCATGCAACTGACCAACTATTCACTTCGGTCACGACAACCACAAGTACAACCAGCACTTGAGCCAAACACTCCAACTCGCCAGAGTGCATGCCTTCAACTCCAGACCCCTCCAGCGACACAACACAAGGTTCGGAAAGGTCCAATTCCAACGTTTGCGCCTGGTCAAAAGTTCAGCAAGAAGATGCCGGCCCAAAAGACTGCTGGAAAGGCTCCAAGAAAGACCTCAGGGATCAGCGGAAAGAAGATTGTGAAGAAGGCCGCGAAGAAAAGCCATCGTTATAAGCCTGGTAGTAAGTTGATTACTATAACTATTACTATAAATCCTTTCTGATAAAAAACAGCCGTTGCTCTCCGACAAATCAAACAGTACCAAAAATCGACAGAACCTCTCCTTCCCCGTGCGCCATTCACGTGACTTATCCATGAGATCATCAGCGACTTGCGCCCTCGCGAGGACTTTCGGCTTCAGCCTTCTGCAATTTCTGCTCTCCAGGAAGCTGCAGAAACTACACTAGTCAAGAAGTTTGAAAGTAAGTGAGTCTAGACGTTTATAGTAATCATTATAGTAATTGTTATAGTGACCCAGCTGGCTGCTATCCACGCAAAGAGAGTCACAATTCAACAGAAGGACATGAAGCTTGTCCAGCAGATGCACTTACACATGACGGGGTTTTCATTTCCAGGCAAACTAAGATAGGAGAGATGGAAGATACCAGGAATAGGGCAAATGAGTAGCAGGATACAGATAGTAGAAATCCAATGAAACGTTTCTACTATATTGGTCTATTGTAACTGTATAGTAATAACTATAGTAACGATTGTATTTGTGGCAACCCATCACGTGTGACAATTCATCACACGTGATGGGTTGCCAAGGAACCGCTGGGTGCCCATGTCGGTCTGGGCGGTTTCTTCAGTATTTCCAACCCAGACCGTGGTCTGGGTTGGAAAATCTTCAGACCGGCGGTTTGCAACCACCAGTTACCCATGACGCACACTAGGCAGTGCCACCGCTATCGTGAATGAGAACGACGGGTATTGACGAGGCACGCCTATTGCGAGCTTCCTGAACGAGAGCTGGGTTTTCATCCATATTTACTGTTAGGGCGGAGTTGTGTATGAAAGAAGCAATATTAATGGCGGATTGGATAAAGCGCCAAGAACTCGATGGAACTAACTTATAGAGAGATGCAGGCAACTTAAGCGATGGATTCCATCCTGGTAACACCCAAAACGCTGTTTGAACTACCGAAGTAAATATTAAACCACCACAATAAAACATTATGCATCGGGAGTCTATTATAATACCAAGTTCTAAACCATCTTTATATTAACACCTAGAGCGAGTATTTGAATGCTACATATATTTCGCAAGGAATTCGCTCACAGCTTTGAAAAAATGCCCCCTCCACCTAACCACTTTGCCAAAACTACGGTTACGGCGCCAGCCATTGTCACCGTCCCCATAAGCCAGCTTATTTCATGAAAACCGCTATACTCTAGAGAAACTACACTATTCACAGGCTACATTCCTGCCTTTTAAAAATTGAAAGTATCTGCTCTAATCTATAGAACACATGAATGCAGAGATATCATATTGTAGATTAAACTTTCATATTGCTACTTAAACGGCAACTTTATGCCAATGATTATATGGTTGGAAAATTCCAACATTAAGAGGTTGTAAAATGTATAACGTATTTCACAAGCGAGTTGCCTACACAGGCAAGTTGCCTACCAAAAACACTAGAATTGACTATTGCTACCCTACTACCACAACACCACCCTAAATAATGGCCTTTATTCAATTGTAATTGATTCCTAATGCCTCTCGCACATACGTGCATTATGTCCCATATTTTCATGTGCCACATCGCTGCTATTAGCCTATAGAACTTACCTGCGACGTCTCACTTGCCATCTCTATACAGACTTAAGCATCAACCTTAGCACTTTAGAGTATATCCTCTCTGTCTTGTACAGAGAGACTACCCCCTTGCATTATATGCCTCTTGCGCTTCCTTTCCCTCCTATTTTTCTGTTCATTTGCAGCTTGTAGAGCCTTAACTTCTGCCTTTAGTAGAACAGCAGAATGCATCATAACTTACGCCCTCTTAACAAGGCTGCTAATAGCATCATTAATTAAGGTAGGAGAGCTATTCTGATGTCATATGATATGCTTCTTAATATGCTCTGTTTGAAAATCAAGCTCCCTTATAGTTTGAGGAGTCTTTAAAGTCCAATTGTTACTCTGAACTATAGGAGGGGTTGGAGTTCTCAAGTGTAGATTTAAGTAAGAGAAGACATTCTGTGGCTCGTACGGAACTAGTCCTGTAGCTCGCTGCTCTGTAAACGCAGCTTTGAATGCTTCCTAAAATGCAGAGAGAAACTCAAGCTTTGTAATATGATTTAGCCTGTTCTATACAAAGGTTTCAATCTAATGTCTGTATGAAAGCTTTAGTGGAGAAAAGCAGCTAACATCAAGTGGCTGAAGAATGTGCGATGAGTGTAGTGGCATATAGAGGGTGATTATCTTCTGTTCTGTATAGTAGTGCTGAAATTGAGCAGAGAGGTGGCTCTCATGTCCATTAAGAATAAGAAGGCAATAGGTTCTGATCGTATGACTGTTTGTATGTCGACTGAAGTGTTAAATCCACTCATACCTAATTGAATTTGAAGTCCACCCATTCTCACTTAGCGTAATCACCTAGTCATTTAGTAATCCTAAGTCTTTGTACTAAGCAGAGAGGTGATTCTACGCCTTGAAAATAATGAATGGCAGGAGTGCCCATCTATACGAATTCACACCTTAGATAATTGACACCCATTCTCTATTCCCTAGCTGTATAGTCTTTGGACGACTCTTTTTATATTCTATATACTGTAGTTACTGTGAAGCCTCCTGACTCTGTCTGCTGATGAGATACATTAAGGTTGCCCGAGATTTACACTCGTCACCATCTTCCAACTTTGACTTGCATTTTATCTACTACAAATAATGAAGACCCCAACTCCTGAAGCACAAATCATTTTAGCTATCGAAGCTATCCAATCGTCCCACAAATGTCGCCACGCGACTGCAAAACTCTACAACGTGCCTGAATCAACCCTTCATGCTAGAATGAACAGTGTCACTCCGAAGGCTGATTCCCAGCCAGTTAGCCAAAGTCTAGCTGAAATTGAAGAAGAGGTAGTAGTTCAAGACGTACTTGATATAGATTCGCGAGGATTTCCGCCTTTAATTGGAGATGTGGAAGTAATGGTCAATTCCATCCTCGCATGGTAATAGGGAATGGGCAACAGCCATTACTTGCATTAGTGGTAACGGCTAGGACCTTCTGCCATTTTTGCTAGTTAAAGGCCTTTGTCACTGTAACGATGTATGGTTACGCTCATGCTACATCTTACTAAGCCAAAAAGACTAATTGTCATAGTCTATAGACTAGACAGGATCTGTGAGTCACAGGACAGGGACTGATCCTTTTATAGTCTATAGACTAAATAGGATCTATAAGGCACAACACTACTATATAAGTAGATAGTATTTCCTTAGATAGGAGCTTTGTGTCAACTTAACATAGTATTCTTTACAACACTATAGCGTGTTACTTAGAAGCCTTTGTGTGTGATCCCCTGCCTCCTCTGTTAAGTTAAACCTTACCCAAGAAACCTCTATGCATCCTATTAGATAGGAAGCAGCGTTATAATATATCAACGACGAACTTGCCATAGAATGGCTAAATCACATTATTAAGCATACTTCAAGTACAGAAACCTTAGAACCAAAGGCTTTATTACTTGATTCTTATACAAATCACCATTATCCTCCCTTTGCTATTCTTGCAGAGAAACACCATATCTACCCCTTTACATTTCCATCTCATCTCATAACATATTTTATGAGCAAGTTGCCTACACGGGTGAGTTGCCTACCAAAAACACCAAAACGTGTCAACTTTGACTACAGACAACATGCCACAATCAAAACAACCCCAATCCTCTAATAAAGAGGGTAGAATACTATTAGCTATTCAGGCACTAAAGGAACATCAATTTAAGAGTCCAAGCTGCTCCATTATCATACGACATGCTATGTAAGCCCCTAAGCAACAGAACGAACAGAATGACTTTTTGACGCGACTCTACTCCTAACTCACGTAAGTTGACTTAATAAAAGAGTCCGCTCTCATTCAATACATTCTTGACTTAGATTCTGCCGAAACCACGTGAGTAGCAGAAGGGTTTGGGCCTGAAACCTAATGCGCTGGAGTACTGAGGCAATCGGTTCACGCCAAGCACCAATTGGGGAGCCTGACAATAACACTGGGAAAAGCTGCTATTCCAGGGCCAAAATGCCACCGCCGTATCCCACGGTGCACATCCTCTTTCCTCAACAATGCCCAGCTCGCTAGTGAACCCAGTGTTCGGCGGATACCTCTCGGGTATATACCCGGGTATTGCCAAGCCTTGTGACTTGATCACGTGTATAATGTATATAGCTACAATAAGTAGCACCAAAGCAGGATCACGTGCTAAGGGCTGACCTGATCTTCAGCACGTGACGGGGCACGGTATATACCCGGGTATATACCCGGATACGCTGGGTATATACCCCGTGCCGAACACTGAGTGAACCACGTTAGTTATTAAAATGCGCAATATATAAGTAGTTAAATAAATTAAGGGACCCATAAGTTAAATGTGAAACTTTTCTTTACTAAAGAACTGTGTACAACAGCCAGTATATAATAGACAAGCTGATCACTTATACATAGAGCCAAAGAGATAAATTCTATCCGGCTTAGATTGTTGGTGTTAATCCGCGGGTTGGACCGCAAAAGTACGTACTTTGGGGTTTTGTTCCAGATCCTTTGCACGGACCCACTGACATCCTCGCAAATGTAAAACAGTGTTCGGTCTAGACCGTGCCTTCCGCTTGGCACCGTACCACTCGCCCACTTTATAGTTCGGTGGTGCCCCTCCGACGCAGCCCAGATTTTAAAGCAGATTTCTAAACTTCGGACGTTTTATTGACTGTGACGCTATATAGGCGCCCCAGTCTCTTTCCAACATTTTTACGCCGCCGACCTTCGTCTTGCCTCCTCGCTTTCTCTGTCTCCGAACCCATTCTCACGATTTTGGATTCCCCAGGCAACATCACCCCGCTTTGAGGGCCAACATCTATTTGTCGAAAGTCGAAACCCGACGCTCCACAAAAGTTTCTCAGTATCCAATGAAGCCTCCGGGCTTGTTCACAGCTACCGTCTTGCACTTCATGGGACGATGAGCTTCTTCCGTAAGAAGTCGGGTTTGCCCGCAGCTGGACGTCCCAAACCAGCTAGTCAACCTGAAAGACAACAACTCAGTGCCCAGAACTTTCGGCAGGGTTAGTGATGAACCAACCCCAACTCTAGGGATTTATAACCTCTATGTTTGCTTCTTGGCTTTTCTAACAGATGCGCAGGTCTAGAGTTGCTGGATGTCGAATTTGAGAAGTCGGAACTTCTAAGTGCTCTGGCACCAGTCAGGATTATGTCTACCGGCGGCTTCCTCGCGATAGCCTATTTTAAGAACCGGGAGTCTACAGTCGATCTAGACTACTGCCTAGACCCGGAGTTGTTTGATAATGAGGATGTAAAGGAGGACATCCGCATCGCCGCTGAAGCTGTTGCAAGGCAACTCGCCTTCCCGTCCAGTTGGTTCAACGACGAGATGACTATATTCGCGAGCCGTTCAATCCGGCCGAAGCTATTCCAAGATTCCTTAGACCAGGGCGTCGTGATATGGCAGGGGAACCGGCTGATAGTTTATGCCGTGGAGTTTGAGTTTGCGCTGGAGAGAAAAATCAGACGATTGTCGTACGCTTCGACTGGACGAAGCTCTGATATTAGCGACGCGGTCGCTATCCTCCATTTTCTAGTGGGGCAGAATGGTGACCGACCGCTAGACCGTGACCATATAAGGCAGCTGAACCGTAACGGGTTTGACGTGTTGCTTGATGAAGGTACTTTAGATGTGGTCGAGCATATATATTGGCAGACGTACAACAAAAGCGTCTTCGATGAGAGGTAGCGTTAGAGGTCCTATTGTGTTGACTTCGATTCGGGAGTCCAGCTTTGCGGGGTTGCGCTGGTAGATAGGTTTGATGTCAAAGACATGCTTGGCCCCTTCCTCCTCAAGGCGACCATATCAGATCGCAGCACTCATGCTCAAGTAGACCTGTGTCATCAGACTGTCCGTAGATCTCCCTCATGGCAAATGATATTCCTCGCCACGAATCGCGGACCCCTCCCTCCCTCAATAATAACAAGCTCGTCCTCCAGCGCTGGCACTCTCTCGGCCCACGCTGGCATAACCTCTGGCACGAATGGCGCCGGCGTCCCATCATCCTCCCTCTCTACCCACCGCTTGCCCCCTCTCCTCAATCCCAATTCCAGTCTCCAATTAAACGCATCCACCATTGCTTCCATCAGCGACGCCAGCATCGCATACCTCACCGGATCCGCATCCTTTGGATCCGGCATACTCTCCAATGTCCACTCATCCTCAGGCCTGCGCCAGAAATACTCCGTCTCAGACCCGACTGCAGGCCCGTGACCCGCACACATCGCTTCGTAGATGCGGTAGAATGAAGCGAGGGGGCAGTCGCGTGCACGGAACAGCGGTACGAGCCGGATCTGCGGGATTAGCGGGTTGCGGGAATAGAAGAGGTTCTGATCGTCGGCGAAGGCCTGCGGGCGGGGCAGGGGGAGGGAGTGCTGTAGGTGCCAAGGGAAGGGCCAGAGGAGGCGCAGAAGGTCCCAGTATGGGTGTGCAGATACCATGTGCAGGATGCGCCGGGTTAATGGGAAGTCGATGCCATTGGGGAGACCGAGGAAGTTCATTGTGGCTTGGTGGACTTCTCCGCGATTTGGCTGGCTGGGAGTTGCGCTCTGGGTGAGTGGCGGGTTTGAGCAACGGTGGGGTGTTTGCCATGTAGTGTAGCATAACGCTAGTTACAATATAACAAAATCGATCTGACTACGTACATTTTTATAGAGAATGAGAGTTGCGAGTTTGCGTGTCCGATGGGGCTTCAAGTTGGCGAGGTCTAACGATGACTAAGCATTATTAATTGTGGATAACTTAGCAATTTGGGACTAGCCCCAAATACATGGAGAAGTGTCAAACTTGGGGCCGTTGATATCAGCAGGAACGAGCCTGGGTAACTCGCCGCAAATATGATTATAGAAGAGCTTCCCTATATATACTTTTTGGGCAGGGATCCCCACCTTATCCTTCGGCAGTTTGGCTGAATGGCACAGTCTCGAAGAACTACTTCTCGTTGATATGAAACTCCTCGAAGATAAATTCTCATTTCGCCTCTATTATAAACCACTATAAACCATTTCTAATGCCTGAAGTGTCTGATTAAATGCCCTCCCTCTTCTAATAACCTCTCAATTCCCAATAAGGTTCCCGATAGTACTATAATAATGGCACCTCGTCCTCTCACTCGCCCCCACCGCCTCCATGGAGACATTCTGCGGATCATTTCGGAAATCCATCCGGTCCATCGCAGTCCCAAACGTGCCCCACTCCGCGGTCCCCGGAAGCCGGTAGTGGTTCGGGTTCTTGGTCCGGATGAACGACGTCCAGTATGCCTGGATCGTGGGGTTTAATTCGGCGCCCTTCCCGGTCGCGATGTTCCAGATGGAATACATGGTTGCGGCGTGCATGGCCCCCATTCCCGACTTGGTATTGATGGGCGGGATGACGTCCCAGCTTTCTTGTTAGAGGTGGTATGAAGCGGGAGGAGGGGGCTTACCTGTAGTGCCAGTTGGAGGTTCCGTCGGTGTGGTTTTCAAACATCTGGCTCATGAATTGACCAGGGCAGTTGTACCGAAGCTCACCGTATGCGTCAGCGGCTGTCCTCCACCAAGCTCCTTTGCCTGGGTACTTGGTTTCATCATGTGGGTAGAGGCTGGCGATGTGGTTTAGTTGATCGGTTGTAAGCTTGGCAAAGTTGTTTTTTAGGAAGTTGGTCATGTCTGTAACATTATCTGTCTTCGATGGTGTGAAGAGAGTGCCTTCATTAGCAACGGAACTTCATATTGTTAGCAGAATTTCAAAAATGAGTAATAGAGAGACGTACCCGAATATGACTGGCACTTTGACGAATTTTCCATCGGCGTACATATTATACGTGTAATCCTCTGTGAACCCCCCAGGCCCGTCGATAACATTCGAGTACATAAAGAGAGGAGTCCCCGTGGCACCGGGAGTGTGCATGATGATGTTATTGCTAGCGATAACTTCCACAGCAAGCTCGCGGAGACACTTTAAGGTGTCTGCCGACTTGCGACACCCTGTGTGGTTAACAAGATCGTCGTATTGATATTGTGACTCGTTGACGGTCAGCTGGGCTCCAAAGGAATTACTCTGTCCGACAGCAGCATGGAAAAGCTTGTCGTCACGGCCTCCGTATGCGGTAAGGTGAAGATCAACCGATGCTGCACCAGCAGAAGCTCCATCAATTGTAACGTGGTTGGGATCACCTCCAAACTGTTGACTTTGTTAGTTTATATCCAGAGCGGAAGTTGACGAGCTTACCAAGTGGATATACTTCTGAACCCAGGCCAACGCCTTCCTCTGGTCAAGCAGTCCAACATTCAAATCCCCATTCTCTTGGATTTCCTTACTAGCTAGAAAACCCCACGGTCCCACGCGATAATTAGAGGTAACAACCACAGTATCATTGCCGGCGGCCTTGATCAATTCGTCGCCGCTCAGATAAGGATTAGCCAGATCATTGAATCCACCTCCTTGGATGAAGAAATAGACCGGGTGGAGAGCGGTTCTATTAGTAGGAGAGTAAACATTGATGAAAAGACAATCCTCCGATTTTTTGGGGTTGAGGTAGGTGGAGGGAGTGCCATGGCACAGCTTTCCTCGCTGTGGTGGGTTAGGCAATGTTCAAGAGAAGTGGAGGCAGACTTACTTGAAATGCATTTTCTTTTGAAGCAGGCAACGGGTCTTGAGGAGCCCTGAATCTGAGATCACCCAGTGGCGGTGCTGCGTACCTCATGCCAAACCACTTGTCGATGCCGTTGGGCGTTCTAAAGCCTTTGTATTGAGTGTAGCCCAGGTCTACATTTAAGTCTGGGTGTTTCTTGGCTCTGACTGTGACAAATGTAACGACTGCAATAATGACTACCAGAATGATCGTCAAAGGAGCGAGGATGAAGAGGATGCAGGGTTTCGTCTTAATCTTTCCGGCACGAACTTGGGCGATTAGATGAGAGGGGCCCATCTCGACGAGCCAGCAGGGAGAGTGCCTTTTCGTACCCGCCGGTTGGTGCCGTAGGATTCGGGCTCTTCAGGGTCAACCTTGAGCTTTTGAAGTTCTACTTCTGATGGAGAAGGGAAAGGTGACTGAGTGAATTCGATGGAAGAGGATAGCTGGGTGTTATACTCAGGTCGCGGGGTTCTATGATTTGCCGACGAGCAATTCCGATCCCGACAAAAAACTGTTATATTGACCTCCCGGCCCGTTGGAAGGATACCGTAGCACGGCTCGGGCGTAGATAACTTGTGCGCCATGCTATAACGTGGACTCCATCGTTTTGAGTTGAGTCAGGTGAAAATGAGCGTAACGTGAAAGAAAGGAAAGGCAATTGAGGCGACGGGGGTATCTGCTCTAGATACCGTTAGATCAATGAGGCAATTATTCCCTGAAGGATTGGTCACTCTAAGTTACGGGTTGGGTTATACGAGGTTGGGGGGGAGGGCGCAGAGCATGAAGTAGCCCGCACGGAATGTCAGCGCTGTTGCCTGATTGCGCCACAACACACGGCAGATGATGGAAGGAGGGAACGAATTTAACCAGAACATAAAGCAAGCGAATTGACAAGAGCCATCAGTGATCAAGAGAGCTAAAAATAACTCCAAAGGAGCCAAGAGAGCCAAGAGATCTGAGGGATCTACGAATAAATGGAAAATAAGTCAAGATCGACGATATGTGAGATGTGGAGGGGGGTTTGCCCACAAAGGATTGGTCACTCTAAGTTACGGGTTGGCTTTTTACGAGGTGGGGGTGGGGGGCGCAGATATTTCCTCGTCGAAAATCAGAATATAAGCACGCTAAGACTCGATCACAAAAAATCCCTGAATCCCCCGACAAAAGCGCTAAACCCAGGCAAGCTAAAGCTTTGAAAGTGTAACCTGGTTGGTTATCAAAATAGATGAGTTTGTTCCTGGCTTTGGTGGGAGATCCCTCTATGAGGAACTTGCGTCGACGATCGCTTTGCTGACGCCGTATTCAACGATGAGATTGTTGCAAAGTGGCGCGAAGAGACATTCAAGGCCCAGGAGGACTCCGAGGTACGGCAGGCGCTTAGACTGCGATTGATCGGCGAAAGGGCATGGGGTTGGTGTATCATGGAGTTTCGTGGCAAAGCGTCATGTTTGAGGAAGGCAAATTCATTCGCCTTTTTGACGCCGGGTCCGCAGTGTGTAAATCAGATGCGCTCGTTTCTGACTCTCTGCGTCTTGCACTGAAGGATGGCATTGCGCCGAGTCAAGACGTCGTATTCGGATCAAGATCAACCGCTTGTCGACCCTTCGTTGTCCCCATTAGTATTCGGAAAGATGTCGGTGTTGATGGACGGCCGAGCAGGCCGCAATATGGCTTTAAGTTGATTGGAAGCGGAAAGCCCGCTCCAAAGCAGTAGATGAGCGCATAGATACCTCTGATGTTAAGCCGAGAATAAAAGAAGGCGATGTCGTAGTATTTGGTACTAATGATCTTAATGAACTCAAACGGTTCTACTGGTCTTCTAATTTCCAGCTGCTTCCATGAGGTGGAATTCCACGAGTCGGTATAGATGCCCACCTCACTTCATACATTAGTAATTTGCATCCTCTCCGGCACAGGTCCACGTACAATAGCATTGAGAAGCTTACTTCACTATCAATTAAGCCGAATATCCTCAGTCATCAATAATAGATGGGTTATACCAGGATTGTGAGACTAATGCCTATAAAGAGGCGATGAAAGAGGCTGTACAGTTTCTCAAACTTCCAAACCGCGGCTCAGATCCACCCCTGAAAGAGGCTGTACAGTTTCTCAAACGCGGCTCAGACCCACCCCCCCCAACAGACCTTCCGGAAGGTTAGGTAGGGTAAGCATTTCCATGATGCAAAATAACACATCAATGCTAAATGGAAAAATACATACAAACTACGTCCTCTAGGGCCTAGCATATCGTTTTCGTATAATGATTGGAAGGATGCTCGAAATGGGGCAGCGATACTCGGTGGTTTGTCCACCTAATCGTCGGTGTTCGCACCGACCACCTTCGAGGGACTTACTTAAATTCCAAAAAAGTAACCTAGACACCGAGCTACTAAGAGGATTACTTCAAGTAATCATTGACCTAGACATCAAGCGTAGGCAGGAGGAGGAGGAGGAGGAGTTACAATGGCAATTAGCCGTTGAAGAAAGCGGGTTTGTTGACTTTACGGACCTAAACTACAACATGATTCACAGTGCAAGTGATGGTAGCAGTGATAATGAATCACTGCCCGAGAATATAGATCCTAATTTAATTGATTAATTATATATACCTATATACGTCGTTGTTCTGTGTTGCAGGAATCGGGGTTCAGAGTCACGGGAGCCACTGGCGTGGCACCCACCCACATATATAGTTCTCAGTAGTTGTAACCTATATACTTCAACTAATCAACAACTTGTCTACCACCAACACTTCCAATGACCTCCAGTGACTATGTGTTACAGGTTATGAGCCTGGAAGCCTATTGTTAAGGTATTTACAAGATCAGAATTATCATTGAGTGTTGATTTGTGCAGTCCAATTCACCAATCTGTCAACAGACTCGCTGAAGTCAGTGTTTTCGTTACAGCACCACAACCTCAACCTCAAACAGTTTTGAAGTACGGTGAAGAGGATTGTGGCTCTCTTTCTTTGAGTTATATCCACACTGTTTCTTTCACTTTATGTCCTCTGCGCTCGAGCCAGAAGGACTTTCCAAGATCTTTGAAGATGCGACAGATCAACTCGCAACTTCATTTCAAACTGAATTTTGAACACGACTGTGACTACACCAATAGCCAATATGTCTTCTACAACTATGGTGAGTCTGAATACGACTTCGCTGCATCTTCCAGAGCATTTGAAGCTCAAGGGTGAAGAGAATTACACCAACTGGAAGGAGCTTATCGTCAACATCGCCCCAGGCAACGGACTGGCGAAATACATCAACGATAGATGCAAGAGGCCAGAATACATCGATGAATTCCATGAGGACTATGATGAGGCCAAAGATGGAGACAAGCTCAGGAAGTATGAAGCTTGGGAGAAGGGCGACGCTCAGATGCAGCTCGCGATCCAATATAACTGCAAGACGATTCCAGGAAAAGTGGCGTCTGCAAAGGACACAGCACTTGAGATGTGGAGAGCCCTACAACAGCAATACAAAGGCTCAGGTTCAGTCCTGAAGTACAATGCAATTCAGGATTATGTTCACCTCAAGTACGAGAATTTCTCTTCGCTTGACACGTTTATTATCGCTGTCCGTGAAGCTATCGACAAACTTGAGAGTCTACAATGCCCTCCTCATGATGATTGGCTTCCTGTTATGTTTATAGCTTCTTATGCGAACAAGTGACCAACTTGGGCAGAACGCCAAAGATCACTCCTTCGGTCTCCAGATCACCGCATCACTCTCGACTCTCTTATCAATGACCTCACAGATGAGGCGAGATCGAAATCGACTCCTACAGGCTCGAATGCCTTGTACGGAAACAAATCTCAAGGAACGGGTAAGGGCAAAAACCCAAGCAAGGACAAGAAGAATGGAGATCGACCATCTTGCCCACATTGCACAATGCCGAAACCTCGACACTCACCTCAAGACTGCCTCGAAAATAACAAGGAGAAGTGTGATGAGTGGGAGCAGAAGAATGGGAAGAAATGGACCCCATATCGGAAGCATATTGAGAAAAAGAAAAATGAAACCAAAGATGAGGACAATGACTCTAAGAACTATTTCGACCTCGTAGCTTTCTCAATGCCTGCCAAATCAAACACTATAAGCAGAGATAGGTGGTTATTCGATACAGGAGCAGATGAGCACATTGCAAAGAGTCTTGAGAAGTTTGACACTTACGAATAGCGCATGGATTTACCATTCATGAATACAGCAAATGGACTTGTTCGTCCTCAAGGCTGTGGCTCAGTTCGACTTTTTGGAGTAAAGGGAAACAGAGAGAAGACCCAAATTACCCTCCATCATGTCATCTATATGCCTTCCTCGCCAGTTTGCCTGTTTAGCGGAAAGAAGCTTTATAGCAGCGGAGGTCATCTACAGAATGGCCAGCTTCTCGATAAGCATGGCAATGAGATGTGCACAGTTGACTCAGATCTGTTCCTTTACGAATTCAAAATGGAAGCAAAGGAATCACTTATCCTGCCCTTGATTTTACCTGCTGCGATTGAGCAGAAGAACACAGACATTGAACTTTGGCATCAACGCCTCTGTCATCTTGGACTCGATAACGTCCGCAAGACCAAAGACATGGTAAATGGGATCTCATATAGCAAAGAAGGCACTGCCATTGCGATGAGGTTGTGCCAGCCATGCGAAGAGACAAAGCCAATCCGTCGAGTGAACAAAATTTCAGCTCAACTAAGACCGAAAACAGCTCTTGAAGAAGTTCATTGTGATGTTGTTACTGTCACACCTCACGGACTCCACGGAGCGAAGTATGGCATACTGTTTACTTGTGGAAAGTACAGTGTCCGCTATGGATGAACCTTTAAGAATAAGGGTGACGCGTACAAATGCATTGTTTGGATGATTCGACTTGCAAAGACGCAATACAACATCACAATTAAGAGATTCAGAAATGGAGGAAAGGAATATGCTCCTACCCAGATCGATGAGCTTACAGCTGATCTCGGAACCATCATTGAGCTGCCCACTCCATTTTGCGCATATCAAGACGGCACAGCCGAACGAAGCTTTTGCAGCATTTTTGAACGTGTTCTATTCGCTGCAATCGATCAGCGAATTCCTGAATTCCTATGGCCAGAGCTGTTTCAAGCTGCCATTTACATCTCAAACAGAGTGGCCACTTCAACCATTGATTGGAAGACACCATTTGAAGCATTTTGGGATGAAATTGAACCAGGGGTGAATCACACACCTAACATCGCCCACTTGCAAGTTCTAGGATGCAAGACGTATGTTATTATTCAAAAGGAACACAGAGTGCAAAGCCAGAAGCTTGCCTCAAGGGCAGAAGTCAGCATTCTCGTTGGATATGAGGGTCATAACATTTTTCGAGTTTACGTCCCCTCTCGAGCTGGAGAGAAGATTATAAGAACTTTGCATGCTCAATTTGATGAAGGCAGTGGTTTCATTACAGAGCCAACATTTGACCAAATCAGTGACGAAAATGTCCAAGCAGCCCACAACAACGCAGTGGAAGAAATGGATGAACTGCGATACCCTCCACCTTCTGTCTCAATGAATAAAGACTATGAAGGACAGACTCTAGACCTAATTCACAATCAGGAGGATGCGGAAGAAACTCCTCAAGATCAGCCAGATGCAGAAATCGAGCATGAGGAGCGCGAACCTCCAACGAAGACCCAAACTCGCAAAGTCTGAACACAATTGAGTCATGAGAAGCCAAGCAAAGGGTGCTGCTTCATCTCGAAATGCCATGTATGCAGAGGAAGAACAGGAATATCAAGACGAAGATTTCCAAAATGCATTTTTCACAGGCACCGAATACAACTCAGATCTGCAAACTATGGAGAAGCACTCGCTCGATCTGATGCAGATCTCTGGTGTGAGGTCATTGCCTCTGAATATCGATCCATTACTTGTAAGAAAGTGTGGAAATTCATGCATAAAGCAAAGTTCCAAAAGGGAAAAAGGTCCTTGGTGGACGCCTTGTTTTGCGCACTAAAAGAGATCGAGATGGCAAAATCCTTCGCCGCAAGGCTCGATGGGTTGTAAAGGGCTATGAGCAGAGATATGGAAAGGATTATGAGCAGACCTTTGCAGGAGTTTGCAAATCAGCCACATGGAAAATTGCCGTTGCCCTTGCTGCACGTTTCGATCTTGAGATTGAACAGATGGATGTTGACACTGCATTCCTTGAAAATGATATCGATGCAGAGGTATATGTCGAATTGCCTCCTGGATGGTGTGAGAATGGTGTCAAGCTTTTAAAGGAGGATGTGTGCAAGCTATCACGCGCGCTTTACAGTCTCAAGCAGTCACCACGTCTCTGGCAGAAAAAGCTTCGCAAAGCACTCCAATCTCTTGGATTTGAACCACTCGGTCCTGCACAATACTTCCTTGGAGTCCGCATTCATCGAGATAGAAAGAAGCGAGAGATCTAGCTTGGACAGGATGCATATACTCAAAAGATCCTCAGCCGTTTTGGAATGACGAATTGCCACACGGTGAAGACGCCTTGTGCCCAAGGATGGGAAATTCTCATGACTCCGTACAAAGACAAAGCTACAGCTCACGAAATCAAGCTGTATCAGTCTATGGTTAGATCTCTAATGTATCTAGCCACGAACACTCGACCGGATATCAACTATTGCACGTCCGTTCTATCTCGTTTTCTCGCAAACCCCTCGCCACAGCATATCGCAGCTGCTCGTCGCTGTCTGCAGTATCTCGCAGGCTCTATTCATCTGTGCATCTGTTATGGAGGCGATTGGAAGGATGATGAGGCTATGGATTAAGAGGATACGTCGATGCAGACTTCGCAGGCGACAGAAGTGAGTGCAAGTCTCACACAGGATGCGTTTACCTTTTCTGTGGAGGCATCATTGTGAGCATTTCGAAGAGACAGCCAACCGTTGCAGTTGCGACTACTGAAGCTGAATACGTGGCTATGTTTAAGGTTGCGATGGGATGGACGATGAAGACACTATCACCGCGACCAAGATAAGGTGCGAATCAATGAGGATTCGGCGTAAGAACGACCGAGCGATGGCTGTGATAATGGAACTCTGCACACAGGACCCTCGAAGCCACATACTTATGATAGAAACAGCCTGAGAGCAATGGATATATCTCCAGGAGATGTACGCTCACGAGGGCCTGTAACAGTTGAACGCAAAGCTGATTGCTTTCTATTCATATGCCCTGCCAGTAACGACGTCAGTATACAACATCAGAACCATGCTCGACGATTATCAGAAGACGATCGGCGACGCCGAAGCAGAGTACCACCTAGCAGACCAAGTCAAGACTATACGACTACTCATGATAATGAAAAGTCGCGGGGCCTAATATGATAACGTCGCTGCTGTGGCACTGATATGAGACTTCTAGTAAGCTTTGGCACATGTAGTACGTTGTTGAGCTATATATGGCGTTTCTCTCCTTTGACATAGGTATCAAAACTTGTCGTTCCTTTAGCGATAGCTTCAATCGCTGTTCCATTCTCTATATTAACTTGTATCAGTTTAGTGAGTAGCTGGTAATTAACGAATGCCTACCTGTCATATGTCATATGGCGTGAGCATCTAAAGTCAACGATGTAGGAGCACCCCTAGGTGCAGCCATCGCTTGCCTAGTTCGCTGTAGCTTCTGTGATGGCTACCCATGTCGTCGCTAATACTGTGGCTATTGCTTCTGCCTGTGCTAGCGATAGGCTAGCGCCCCCTCCTAGTGCAGCAAGTGGTCCTGTAGACGCCCCTTCCGCCCCTTTTCTTTGAACGGCAATCAGCCTTGATGTGGCCTATTTTGTTGCAGTGGTAGCATCTACGATCGCTTTTCTAGGCCGTTGCCCTTCCTAGGTGGCGTTCGGCTCTTTGGTCATTGTCTGTAGTGACCCGTAGAGCAGTCTCGTCAATGGACTTCTCACTGTTGATTCTATCCTCGAGGTCTGCAAACTGCGTAAATATCTTGCGGTAGTCCGTGACGCCTCCTACTTCGAACGACAGTCTCTGAGTCTCTCAGCCATCACTTTGACAGCCTTGACGAAGCTCCTAATACCAACAGAGCACGATTACGAACTGGAAACTGGCCTGAAGTCGAAAAGCTTCTTCTTAGTTGGCAACTTCAAATTGAGTCAAATGGAGGGTTTACAACTGGTGATCTACTTCAACAAAAGGTGCGACAAATCTGGGAACGCCTTCCACATAACGACAGCACAGTCTGCCCAGACTTCAGTGTAGGCTGGCTTCGACGATTTAAAGAACGACATAATATCAAAGTATGAATTCAACACGGAGAAGCAGGCTCAGTTCCAGAGTCTGCAGAAGAAATGAAGGCATTACGAACAATTGCAGGGGAATACTCGGAGGAAAATATCTATAATATGGATGAATCAGGACTCTTTTGGAAGATGATGCCGTCTCGAGGACTACTCAATCTCAGGCTGGATTAAAGAAGGATAATACTCGGATCAGTCTTGTATTTTGTGTCAACGCTTCTGGAACAGATAGACTTCCAGTCTGGATCATTGGAAAGGCAAAAACACCACGAGCTTTACGAAATGTTAGCGTTTCAACAATGGGTGGTATATGGAGATGGAATAAGAAGGCTTGGATGAATACAACTATTATGGGCGAATGGCTTGAGGCGTTCTATCGACATATTGGTACTCGAGAAGTTCTCTTTACAATGGATAACTTTACAGCACATGCTGCTGCTCTTTAGCTTTACCCCCCTCCTTCAAATATTCATATTTGTTGGCTACCAGCTAACAGTACCAGTCGATATCAGCCTCTTGATCAAGGTATCATTCAATCTTTCAAAGCTTATTATCGATGATAATGGCTTTCATATATGCTTGAAGCCTTTGACAACAATCAAAATACTATGGATACAATGAATCTACACTTAGCTATTCGATGGATTGTACGAAGCTGGAACAACTTGGTTACAAACACAACAATCTACAACTGCTTTTGAAAATCAACACTTATTTCAATGCCAATCCCTCTTCCTACAACTATTACCCCTCTTGGAATCGGAGAGCTTTATGACAAGGTAATTAGAGCTGGGAACATACAAGATGTCATGGCAATATCAAACTTTCTAAACCCGGAGGAAGAGAAGGATATACAAGATGGGATGGAGGAATTGGGACCAGAAGAGGTTTTAAAAGAGGTCTTAGAGGAGCATCTAGGCCAAGGCAGTACCCAAGATGATGACGAAGAGGAGGAGCAGCTAGAGCAGCCTGTATTTACTACAGAGTGCTCGTCAAGCTCTACAAGTTCTGATTGGGTTTGCTGAAGGTCAAGATGCTCTCAAGGCAGAGCATTTACGAGAGTTGGAGCGTCTAGAGTCTATTCTTGATGCTTTAGATCAGGATAGCAGGATACAGTCACGGCTAGATGGGTGGATTATGCAAAATTCAGTATAGCGATATATCCTATAGTACGATATGATTTGTTGGCACCGAATACATCGTCTTAGCGGCATTTGACTGTAGGTAAAAAGGGCAAAACAAAGGGCAAGGGTGTTTCGTACGAGACTGAGAGTGGAGCAGATGTTAAAGGAGAGGGTCAAGATGGATCTGAGAGCGACAGGTTTTAATAGAATATTCCCTGCAATTGGACGCATTACGCCACTAGACGCATTACGGCACGAGTTACGTTAATTAGGAAGGTCGGGTTGTCTTCTCAACCGATTGGCCAGCTCATTGTGCTATGGTTGGCCGGGATGCATCATTTCGTCATCCCGTCCTATCGCGCGAAGGGCCGAGACCCGCGCCGACCAGCGACTTTCCCGATGCAGCGAAAGACGTTGATCGCTGTACAGCCACGAAGGCGCAATATTCAGCGCAAAAGTCATCGCAGACGTTGGATTTCCGCATGCACAGACAATTCAAATCGCTGCTGTGCCGCTACCCATTTCGCCCACTTGTCGGAATGAGGTTAAACACGGGACGCAGGGACATCCCCCACTTCCTTTGCTGGCCACCAGGCAACGATGGCATGTACCCATGGTTTATGCTCAGTAGCTGCCGCATACAGCTTAGCCACAACGGAGCAAGCAACGATGCCTCGGTGATCAATGCCCAGAAGGGGTGCGAGATCCGCAGCTGTAGCCCATGATCATCATGAGAGGACACGAAAACGTTCTCTATATTGTTGATAGGGCAATATACATGTGAGCTTCCGTTTACCTATATTCATTTATATACGTCGACGATCCCCAAAATCATTTCTGTACCCCAATTGCATCTGTTGTGATACTTTGGCTATTCTGTGCGGGCAATCATGCAGACTATTCGTGCTCTCTTGCTGCTCCTCGCTGCGTCAGTGGTGACAGCCGCCCAGAACCCGCACGAGAAGGCTGCAAAGTATGTGCAGAAGAGATCAGCGGAGCCTGTGGTTTCAAAACATGCATCGCGTGCGGCGAACACTGCTCACTTCCTGAACAACAAAACTGCTAGTATGACCATTTGCCCCTTGGTTCACAGTATTCCGTGACTGATCACGTCTAGAATTTGCCATCAATGGCTCTGCATTGCCAGAGGTGGACTTCAATATTGGGGAGTCGTATGCGGGTACCCTCCCAATCTCCAGCAAGAAAGATGACGAAAACCGATTGTGGTTCTGGTTCTTTCCGTCTTCGAACCCAGCGGCGAAGAAGGAGATCACAATTTGGCTTAATGGCGGTCCAGGCTGCAGCTCCTTGAACGGCCTGTTTCAGGAAAACGGACCTTTCCTTTGGCAGCCCGGGACCTATGCGCCATTCGCAAACCCATACTCCTGGGTCAATCTTACCAACATGATCTACATCGATCAACCAGTCAGCACGGGATTCTCCCCGGGAACGGTCCTCGTCGATGACGAGAACGATGTTGCAGAGCAATTTATGGGTTTCTGGAAGAACTTCATTGATACCTTTTCCATGCAGGGATACAAGATCTATATCACGGGAGAAAGCTACGCTGGGCAATACATCCCGTATATTGCGAGCGGTATGTTGGATACGAAGGACAATAAGTACTTCAATGTGAAGGGAGTACAGATCAATGACCCTTCCATCAACACAGACGACGTCCTGCTTCACAGTAAGCACTCTGATCCATAGCTTAAGCGCACCAAACTAACAATTGTAGCACCTATTGTGCCTGCGTTGAATTACTTTAATAATGTGATCAACTTGAACGAGAGCTTCATTGCAAACATCACGGCTCGCGCAGATAGCTGTGGATACACTGATTTCTTCAACAAGTGGACCACAGAGTTCCCACCATCTAGCAAAATCCCCACCGCTCCCAGCTGGAAGGAGCCAGGCTGTGATATCTTCGATGAGGTCTATAACGCGGCATACTACGAAAATCCGTGCTTCAATATTTACCACTTAACAGATTACTGCCCATATCAGTGGAACCTGCTAGGTTTCCCATCTATGGCTGGAGGACCAAATAACTACTTCAACCGCACCGATGTCCAGAAAGCCATCAACGCTCCACCAACAAACTACATGGTCTGCGGAGGTGGTCACAACCTCTTCCCCAATGGCGACAAGTCAATCGAGTCCAGTCTTGGCCCGCTCCCAAGTGTCATCGAGCGCACTAACAACACGATTATCGGCCACGGCCTCCTCGACTTTCTCCTCTTCGCCAACGGCTCCCTGATCTCCATCCAGAATATGACCTGGAACGGCGCCCAGGGCTTCCAGACCTCTCCCTTCAAGAAGCAGAACTTCTACGTGCCGTACCACCAGACCAACGGCGAGATCCTCCAGTACGCCAATGGTATTAATACACACGTGTTCACTGATACAGCGGGTGGAGGGTTCCAGGGTGTAACGCACACGGAGAGAGGTCTTACGTTCGTCACGGTCAATTTGGCGGGGCATATGATCCCGCAATATGTGCCAGGAGCAGCATATCGGCAATTAGAGTTTTTGCTAGGGAGAGTGAGCAGTTTGGAGCAGAGGGGAGATTTCACGACCGGGCCGCAAGGTAATTATACGGGGGGTACGTGGTAATACGAGTGATATTTTTCAGACGTCACCAGCGTAGCTGGACGATTGAAAATATATATGCTATAATATAGTAATATGATTACCACAGCATATATAAATTATGTCGCGAGCTGGGATGCGAATGTAGCTGCTACAGTCGCCTTTCTGTCTACCCTTGATGATGATGATGATGATATTTATTTACGTCCAGCGGGACGCGGGTGTAACACGCGGCCCTAAGACCCCCGCAGGGTACGGGGACGTGCTAACCTATGGGTTTATGTATAGAGTACGGAGGTCGAGTTCAAAAGTCATGTCCTACGCTAAAAACGCCACGTTGCATAAATACAATTATTCACTCTCGGCCCTCCTTGTACTCGTTCCCGCCTTCAAGCTCAATAACTATCTTGATATGGCGGGGTATTCTCTCAATCCACGCCTGGATTTGCGCTTGTGGGACGTCCTCCCAACAGCTCTCCCATGACTGTATCCCTTGCGGCCGGCTTTTTGGTGCCCCTTTTCGTGTTGTTCTTCTCTTCATCCACGGCCAACATGGTTCAATCATGTTTAAGTCAGGAGAGTTAGCACACCAGAATAGTCGATTAATGTCGTGAATTGAGAATAGCCGCTCCTGGATATAGTGACTATGTGACGGTGCATTGTCTTCTTGCACGACAGTCTGTGGCCGGTCTTTTCTGCACTCTTCTGCGAATGGGAATAACTTTGGAAGGAGAATCTTCTGTTGGTAGCGATACCAGTCTATCCCGCCTCCTTTCCCTCGAGTTAATTTTCCGTTTTTTTGATTCCATCTCCACTGTGGTTTTGGTCCTGGTAAATTCTGTAGTCCCATCCGTTGAATCCCATTTGTAATTTCCCATTGCTCACGCATAATTGGCTCTAATTCCTTATTCATCTCTTGAACTTTTAATTCTGCTTCTTCTCTTTCTCATTTGGTTTCTGGTATCCAACAGTGGCATGGCCCCTTCTTGTCATATGAGAAACATGCCCAAAACATGAACTCAGAGTATCCCTTCCACCGTTCTCGAATGCAAGATCGTAAAAATGCCTCTTCAACTTTCCGCCAAATCCGATATCCTCCCCGTCTATGGTTTAAAACAACAGAAGTTTCATTTGACCATATGACATTTTTCCAATCCTCAAGTGTCCAATCTTCGTGGTCAAGGCACTACTTTAGCCGTTGTTCTCTCATTCTCTTCGTCAATCCAGGCTTCCTCGTCGGTTTCGTTTTCCGATATCCTGCTGTTTTCAAGATTCGCCATATGGTAGTTGAAGAAATATTGAAACCGTTGATACTAAGTTTCCCTGCAATATCAGCGCAAGTTTTCTCACGGCCATATCTATCTCTGCATACTTTCGAAACAGCCTGATTGACTGTTTCCTCTGTCTGTTTTCGAGGGCGTCCAGAGCGAGGGGCGTCTTCTAGCCATTCATCTTGGAGAGAGAATGGCATGTGGTTTGGGTCGAAACCACGCTCAATTGCCTGAGTGTAAATCCAGTTTATCTGTCGAGCAGATACTCCTGTCTTCTCAGCTACTTCAGCTGTTGTCTTCCCTCTGATAGGGGATTTTAAGGTCACGATAAGAGCCCGAGTTGAGAGACTTGTATTTGGCGCCATGATTTTAATGTTCACGTTTACGAGTCACAAAATGAGGGGTTCATAAGATTACCATTTTATGCAAGGCTTGGCACTACTAGCTTGGACACGACTTTTGAACTCGACCTCCGTATGACCTTAAGAGAGCAGTTCTTGCGTGTTCAGGGTTAGCACAAATAATCATAATAATCATGACTATTCGAATAGTCAAATATTACATAAGATCCTCTTCTTCTTCCTTTATAAAATCCCAACTCTTTAAACAAGCTATTACTCTAATAATGTCTTTAGCCTATTTCTAATATTTGAAATAATAAGGCTACCTATACTAAAAAAGCTCTCTATAGGAGCACTAGTAGCAGGGATTTGTAAATAGCGCCTAGCTATAGTAGCTAGAATTGGAAATCAAGATTGATTTATTTTCCAATAGTCTAAAGGATTAATCTATATAATATTAGTAAGTTAATTATTAAAGAGGGTTAATAGCTTACCTTATAATGAGAAATAGATTCTTGGAAATAGATAGAAATTTCTGTTTCAAAGTCATCTTCTATAGTTTGAGAATATAATGATCTTTCAAAGTCATCTAATAGATTATCTTCTTCATTCTCTTGTTGCTGTTGTTGTTGTAGTTGTTGTTGTGTTAGAGGTAATTCGTTATTAAATTCCTCTCTTAATACTCTATTAACATATTAGTATATAATTTAAAAATATAATATATAAATATACCTTTGATATACTTCTTCTACAGCTTCTATAGCTTTATACTCATCTTGTTGTGTATAATGTAGCTTACTTAGCCCTATTTTCTTTAAACGAGGGTCTAGTAGTAAAGCTATAAATAAAGGTTTATTCTTCTCTTCATAATGATTAGGAGAGTAGTATTTCCTTAATTTAGCAGTACCTTTCTTAATAGCAATATCTATTTTAGAGCCCTATATTAATATTAGTATAAAGTTAGATATAAAAGGGATATAAGACTTACTGTTGCTATTTTATCTTCTATAGAAGATAAATTTTGAAATATTTACCTTCTTAAAGCAGTCTTCTTCTTTTAACCTAATGCTTTCTTTATCTTTAAATACCTTAGCTTTAGATGTTTCAATAACAATCTCTATAGGTTCTTTAACATTTAAAAAGTTATTAAGCATATAATAAGTAGAAGACCACCTAGTAGCATTATCTATAAATGTTAGTATTGTTATATAACTAAATAAGGATATAGATATTAGCTTACCTAGTTGTATTTTTTTAGGCCCTTGTATATCTTTAATATGCCTTGCTAATAGCCTTATATTCTCTTGGTTATATTTAAGGCTATTAATAATTCCTCATTTTAAGCCATGTTTTTCTTATCTTATCTTATCACTTATCTAAACTATACCCAATTAGGTAATAACTAAGCCTAATAAGGTATATATTATAGTCATGATTATAATCACGACTATTCATGATTATAAATCATGATTATGATTATATGCTTTATAAATAATCATGATTATGATTACGACTACATAATCATGATTATAATTGATTTTCTAACCCTGTGCGTGTTTGCGTGGATGTAAGGCCCATTAACTAAGCGCCTTCCCCGCTAGTTGGGATGGTGTTAGGTTTGCTAGTAGAGGGCGGTGCCTCAGAAGTTCTCCCGAAAGGGGGTGTATGCGGGACTGGTTGGTCTGATGTTATGAGCCACTGCGAGTGTAGTGTGTAGTGTGCCCTATGGCCTTGCTACAGAGTTGCAGCTCTATAGCTTGGTGGTAGGTAGTAAAATAGTAGGAAAAATAGAGATAAGTGTCCTTAAACAAAGTTAGTGTTGTTAAAGGGAGTGTAGGGGTTTGACCTAGACCCCAACTGCTAGTTTCCAAAAAATATAGAGTAGATATCCTCTAGGACTATGTTGTGTTGACCTAGAGCCCCTATAGGGCTAGCGGAAGCTATGGCTTTCTTAGGCTATATAGGGGTAAGTTATGCTAGGCTAGCCTAGCAGGTGCAGATTTTGTAATAGAACTCCATGACCTAGAGGAGTGCTGCAAAGTCTGCTGGTTTAGCCATTAGGCATAAGAGGAGGCATAAGAGGTATTAGAGGCCTATGGTGTTGTTGTCTAGTGGTGCTGCTAGTCGCTAGGGCTAGCAGCGAAATGTAGATGCTATAGTTGACTTTATAACTAGTGTGCGTCATGGGGGACCTACCCCATCGGTCCCCCGACCCCAGACCGGACCACGGTCCAGTCTGAAGCTCATAACCCACAGTTCCCATCGGTCTGCCAAGAAACCGGTCATGGGACTCGTGTCATACTGACATTCGTTACACTCAGTTTGCTATCAAACTCAAGAGCAAACTTAGAAATCTCCTCCTCTGTAAGGATGCCTCTGCCCTCAGTGACAGAAAGCATTGGAGTCGGGCAGGTTATGGTCACGTGGGGAGAGTTAGGGCAGGTTAGCCGAGTCAGACCCATTTCGGGTACTTAAGGGGATTGACCCAACAGGGTTCCTAATCATCTTTTTTGTATCCTTTGTAGTAGACCTATAGGATAGCATCCGTTTAGCCTCCGACTCGCACTCTCATATGCTATTACTGTGAGTGGGTGCCCTGTGTCCTTACATCCTCAAACCTACAAGTCACTATACATATTTTGGCTTATCACACCAACAACAAGAGCAATACTACTCAACGATTGCTACAACCCTCTATGATTCATTACACGTCATCGCTCCTTAGTTACTGGGCCGATATTACCACATAGCATATCTCTACAACCCTCTATGATTCATTACACGTCATCGCTCCTTAGTTACCCACAAGATTGGTTAAGTTATGACATAATCTGTCGATAGGGGTACTCTGACCTTGGACCTCCTTTCACTTCCTATAGGCTAGGAACCTAGGAGATGGTTCTATGGGATTCTCTTACGTCGTCTACAGTTACCAAGCCTGGTTAGTCATGGAAAGTCTTGGAAAATGAGAGAACTACACTCCTTTAGCATAAATAGGTTTGCCCTTTCCTTAAGAAAGGGCAAGCAGACAATACAGTAAATCGACTATCACATACTTCCACGTCTTTTCCAAGCTTCCAAGCATTGATCTTGTTACTCCTTGTTTCTGAAAAGTCAGTGAGGTGCTAACCTCTGACTTATCCCTGAGTTCTCAGACTCAACATTTGTTACAACTTGTCTAAACCACTCCACTACATCATACACCTGATTGCTGCATTGTGAAATAGTCTAAGCTACAACCCTTTGGCTCTTTTTCCTAAGACAGTGTGTTGTATTAGTAAAACCATCCCTTCCTTGGGTGGCTAGATTCTCACATCTGGTGCACCCACCATTACATGACTGATGGAATTATAGCTTCGCTTCCGATTCAACATTAGAGCCATCGGATCCTTGTCTAGTTCCATATAGTGTGATTGGTGCTGCTTTGATCTTT